GAGGGGCTGCTCATGGACACATCTGTCCCCATCATCACAGGGCACTGTGACCTTTGAGGAGGTGGCTGTGTACTTTTCCCAGGAGGAATGGAGGCTCCTTGATGAGACTCAGAGACTCCTGTACCGGGATGTGATGCTGGAGAACTTTGTACTGGTTGCATCATTGGGTAAGACCTTCACACCTCTCCCAGCATCCTGGGCTGGTCTCCACTTTCTTCCCAAGCTAGACAATGGGCACATCTCTGTTACTGCTTCCCTGCCTCATGTGCTGTGGGCGCCAAGGGTGGGTGTGTATACTGCCTCCTTTTACAAGTAGCCCCCATAACAGCTGCTCAAAGGTTTTCTGGGTCAAAAGACTTGGAATTAGTCCAGTGGGTTCCATCAGTCTCAGCCACTCCCTGCTAAGCTGACTCTGTAGCCCCTAGGCCACCTCTGCTCCAAGGTTCTGTCCCCTTCCAGCTGATGTTTCCTGGGGCATGGCTGTACAAGGAAATTGTTGGGACCCAACATGGTCAGTACTTGTGGGGTCCACATGGCTGTTTCTGTGAGACTTCCTGAGACATTCCTTTTGTGATATATGGCTTCATGATTTGTTCCCACCGGGCCAGTACTGACTGCTCACCTGTCCTGTCTTTCCCTTAGGACTTGCATCTTCTAGGTCCCATGTTGTTGTCCAGCTGGAGCTGGGAGGAGAACCCTGGGTACATGACAGAGTGGACATGACTCCAGGCACAGCAAGAGGGGCTCAGAGTGGGCCTGGCCCTGGTGGTTGGCATCAGGGGGAGGATGTGAGATCATGGCCTGTGCCCCTCCTTTCTATCTTTCTTCCACATTCTGGACACTCTGCTCCTTCTGTCATTTCTACTCTGACTTCCAACCCAGGCTTATCCCTCACCTCCCTGACTCCCACTGCTCATTGGTTCTCTCCGTCACTCTCTGGTATTGGCCTACACTTAATGTGTCATAAGGTCTGCACGTGTCCTTAAAATAGTCCTTGAATACCAGCTCCTCAGTGACAGTTGGAGTTTCCTGGGCCTGGACACACCCTTCCACACAGCACACTTGTGTCACCGGCTGCCAAGGCCCTGGTGCAAACCGTTCCTGGAGGAGTGAGTTGTGGACCCCTGGCTCCTCCCTGCACTCCACCCCATCCTTGTGTCTTTTGTCTGGTGAGTCTCCCCTTGTCCCGTGGCATCTAGAGGCCCAGTGCTGCACAGCAGCCCTCTCCTAAGTGCCCCCAGCTCCCCTGTCCTGAACAGTCCCACGGATTTGTTCCTTGGTATGCCAGACACACATTTGTGATGGGGCTGCCTCCTCCCAAAACCTACATGAAGTTCACTAGCATCGTTCTGCTTTCAGGTTGTTGGCGCCGAGCAGAGGACAAGGAGACAACTTGTGTGCAAGAAGTTTCTGGAAAAGGGCCACAAGTAAATACTTCAAAGGCGGACCTGTCCACCCAGAAGGCCTACCCCTGGGAGTTACGTAGCCTGGACTTAGAAGGTGGTTTCTATCTAGCTGAGGACCTGGGAACAATCTCTGGCCAGAAACCATGTGGGGCAGGTGTGAAATTTCCCCAGCACAGTGGAGAGAAAGTGTTTAAAAGAGACGTGCATAAGGCCTTTATGAAGAGCCGCATAGTCCGTGCGTCCAAGAAGTCTTCCACGTGCCAGGAGGCTGGGACGGATTCTGCTGGTAGCTCTGGCCGCCTCCGGCACCAGGTCACACCACAGAAGGACACCGAGTGTGTGGAGGCCTCTCACAGTGGACAGAGGCACTATAAGTGCAGTGAATGTGGGAAAGCCTTCTGCCGCAAATACAGACTTGCTCAGCACCAGAGAGTCCACACTGGAGAAAGGCCTTATAAGTGCAGTGAATGTGGGAAAACCTTCAGCTATAAACACATACTTGTTCAGCACCGGAGGGTCCACACTGGAGAAAGGCCATATGAGTGCAGCGAATGTGGGAAAGCCTTTAGCAACAAACCCACACTTGTTCGGCACCAGCGAATTCACACCGGAGAAAGGCCTTATGAGTGTAGTGAATGTGGGAAATTCTTTAGCCAAAGCTCTAGCCTTAGTGAACATCAGAGAATTCACACTGGGTCACGGCCCTATAAATGCAGTGAATGTGGAAAATTCTTTACTTCCAACTCCAACCTAATTAAACACCAGAGAGTCCACACAGGAACAAGACCTTATGAGTGCAGTGAATGTGGGAAATTCTTTAACCAAAGTCCCAGCCTCATTAAACATCAGAGAATCCACACTGGGGAAAGGCCATATGAATGTACTGAATGTGGGAAACTTTTTAGCCAGAGCTCTACTCTAATTAAGCACCAGAGGGTTCACACTGGAGCAAGGCCTTATAAGTGCACAGAATGTGGGAAACTTTTTAGCCAAAGCTTTGGCCTCACTCAGCATCAGAAAGTTCACACTGGAGAAAGACCACTTGAGTGCACAGAATGTGGTGAATGCTTTAGCCAAAGCACCCAACTTACTCAGCACCGAAAAGTTCACAGAGGAGAGAGGCCTCTGGATTGCAGCAACTGTGGAAAAGTCTTCAGTCAGAAGTCTGCTCTGATTGAGCACCAGAAACTTCACAGCCCAGACAGGCCTTACGAGTGCAGTGAGTGTGAGAAAGCATTCAGCAGACGGTCTAACCTCATTCGCCACCAGAAAGTTCACGCTGGAGAAAAGCCATCGAATGAGACAGGGACGGCAGGGAAGGAGCTACGTCCTTGTTGACCGCGTCACACTAAATAGGCTTTGTCCGGGAGCCATCAACCTGAAGTTGAACACCATAGACCTGAACATCCGTTGTGTGGAGATTGCCTGGGAGTACCAGGCTCGTAGGCAGCTTTGAAGGAGCACATTGTACTTTCTAACCTGCCCAGGGCCCTTGCCAGACTTCCGTCGCTGAGTTCTATGGTAGAAGTCATGTTACCTCTACCAAGTGGCAGATCGCCCCACTGGGCATCCGTCATCTGTGAGCTGGGTGACCTTCGTGCGTGCCCATCACCTGGAGGGAAGCGTGAGCAGTCTGAGCACTCTGGTGGTGTCACTCTCTTCTGCCTGACTGACCAGGACATGGACCTAACTGAGACAGCTTGAACAGGACCCAGTCTGGGTTCGCCAGAGGTCCCCTTCTTCAGTGGCATTGTCTCTTGTAGTGCCCAGGATGCATCTTTCTTGCTCCACGTGACCCAGTTTCGGAACTTTGTATACCTTGGTGGGAATAGTATAACGGCAGAGAATGGTTTTCACTTCAGCTTGGTCTAATTTGCTTTCTTGTCCGAGGCCTCCTGGTGCAGACTACAGGGCTTTGTGTGACTAACCTTGTGACATAACGTAAAGGGTTTTAGGATTCCCATGGTGGCTCCAGCTTGTTTATCTCAAGGCCATTGATACACATGAATGAGAATGGAAATCATCTAGTCCAGGGATGTGACTTTTCTGACTCAGGTAGAGTTCTTGGACAACTCAAGTGAACACGTCTTTCTTGGCTCCCCGGCGTTCTTTGCTACTGCGGCAGAGTCCCTCCCATGAGGTAGGAGAGGTGATGGAGTTAACTTGTGGTTACCAGAGTTCCTTCCACTTTTCCAAAAAGGAGGTTCAGATTTTATGTAAAGCCAATTTCTGTTAAAACTTCATTGAGCTAGACTGTTGGTATACAAAGCACCGAACATACTGAAAATGTACAGCGCGGTTAGTGTTAATATGTAAACTCACAGAACCGTGGTCATAACAACAAACATCTGTCGCTTCCACAGCTACCTTCTGACATCTCTCCCCAGACGGCCAGGCAACTACCATTGATTTACTGCCTTTCACATTCGTATTTGCCTTGTTCTCTCGCGGTGCAGAATCATTTTGAGAATCATCCTGTGGCAGATGTGAATAGTGCATTTTTTTTAAATTCCTGAAAGATACACTGTATATACTGTCATTTGACTGGGTTTATCCATTCATCTGTTAACGGATAAATGGGGTTTTGTGGTTTGTTTCCAGTATGGCTATCACAGATATGCTTACTATGAACCATGTACATAAAATTCTTTATTTGAATATATAGTTTCATATTCTGAAGTGAATGGCTGTACCCTTTTGCCTCCCCACCTGGAGTACGAGAGCATTCCAGTTCCCTTATGTTCCTCACCAGCACGGGTTTTTAAAGTGTGTAGTGGTATCTCACTGTGGTCTGATTGCATTTTCCTAATGATTTATGATCTTGGACATTTTTAATGTGTTGCTAGCTGTGTATCTTTGATAGAGTGTTTTATTGAAGTATAGCTGATTTATAATGTATTAATGGAATGTCTGTTCATCTTATTTATTTACCACTTGTTAATGAATGTTGGCTGGTATTTCCCTAATAACTGAGAAGACAATAAATGTGTTGGAACGTCACTGCCTTCAGGGACTTTGCTGGGTGGAATAAAATGTTTGTGCTGTCATCCACAATGTGTGGTCCTCATTACTAACATTCAAAAATGGTGGCCCTTGGCATGATCTGAGGGTGTAGTCTTTGGTGGGCTGATGTAAAAAGGTTGTTCCTCAGACACCCGTGCAGGCTTAGTTTTAGGGGTTGGTGGTTCCAACCAGTCTTAGTCGGTTCGAACTGGACAAGAGCTGACTCCCAAGTTGCTAAAAAAAACCCCAAACTTGAGCCCCCGTTACTGTAGTGATCCCCACATGAGGGTGTCATCTACAGGGGTCACCAAGGAGTCTTGAGATTCATTCCCTAGGCCACGTGAAGCTTGGAGGGTACGCAGTTACAGAGGGGGAAGAAGCGAGCTCAAGCAGTGAAGGCAGTTCACAAGCAGAGGGGTTTCAGCAAGCTGTTCCCTCTCCCGGGGCTCTGTAAGGCAAGCTCAGGAGTTCCTGCTAGTCCCCAGCGTCTGCTGACCTGATGGGGCACGGTTTCAAGGCCACCGAACATGGACTTGGGAAGACGTGTGCAGTAGCACCCCGTTACGTTCTGTTTCCATTACACAGACACCCACAAACAACCTTAAGAGCACAGACGATAGTAAAATGTAGTAAAATAAGGGACAAGTTTTGAGCATTTTTACGTCAACAACTTGTAAAGGATTGTAACACCACAGGCCTGAGTTGTCCGATTCTCTGTTCAATCCAAAGAAATATTTGGCACAGACTTGCCCAGCTCCTGGGCAGGAACCTCTAAGCCCTGGAAACATTCGACCTAATGAGAGTGTCTTTCCTTATTCTGGGGCCTTGGGCCGTGCTAGGTAGCTTCTGCTACTGACATGACATTCGGAGAAGCTAGAGAGAGTAACTATGATCCAGGCAGAGCTGCTCCTCGTCTATGTGACGGATAGTAAAACATACCTGGACAACGCCGAGGCTCATGTGGGGTGTCCGTGGGGCTCCCTGGTTAGCAGCAGTTCCTGTGAGTTGTCGCACATCTCTGTCATGAGACAAACCAGAAGATTAACTGGAAGCTGGCAACTTGGCCCCAGGCTCTGTCCTATTGTGCCATCTTCTTTTGATGCTTTTCCCTGAGTCCTGTAGATTCTGAGGGTTTTCCAGAACATCATTGTGTTTTTAAAAGCTTTGCTAAGAATAATTGACTTAAAATACACTTGAAGGGCAGGGTTTGATAAAGCTCTGGCACAGGCTTAACACGTCTGAAGCCAAAAGTGTTCTCGTGCCATTTGTAATTTTATCCCCTCTTTAAACCTACAGAATTGATGCTAGAAGTTATTCCCCCTTTTTGTGACAGGTGTTTTCAAACATATACAAAAACAGAAAGGACTGTGTCTGCAGCCCAATGGGCCCATCTCCAAATTTTCACCATTATTGTTTCTTGGATGTTCTTTCATTTTATTCCCTGGATCACATCACTGGGTCATTTTTACATAGACTGCCTAGCCCCACCTCATGTAACTCCTGAATCATTCAGAATGCATTTTCAAAGATGTACGTAAGCACTTTTTCATAACTTCCATAATTTGATCACACAAATACAGGAATGCCCTGCTTTTTGAAAGTTCACCTTACACCACATTGATTTTATGAAAGACTAATCAAAAGAAATCTGAAAAGAATTTTAGTCGCTCTTATGAAAATAGCCACTACACTATACACTGTAGATTCTTTCATAATTGAAGTGGCTTATCTAGAACTTTCAGAAAGCAGGGGATACTCCCCCATTATGGCATTTCAGCTTATGAAAAGTTTCATAGGAAAGATCTACCTGGGGTTAGGAGAAACCTGTAATTAAGACTCTGTTACTAGGGGAGGGTATAGCTCAGTGTCTGGAGTGAGTGCTTAGCACACATGAGGTCATGGGTTCAATTCCCTGTACCTCCATTAAAAAAAAAAAGCTAATTACCCCTCATCCAAAAAAAAAAGACTATATTACTAAATTGTATATCTGGAGGGAACTCGACTTTGAAAAGATGCATGCACCCCAATGTTCACGGCAGCACCATTTACAATAGCCAAGACACGGAAACAACCTAAATCCATCATCCATGGACAGATGACTGGATAAAGAAGCTGTGATATAGTTATACAATGGAATACGACTCAGCCATAAAAAGGAATAGTGCCATTTGCAGCAATATAATAGCACAGGAAACTATATTCACTACTTAATACATATAATGAGAAAGAATATATTCATGTATAAGTATAAAGGAAACATTATGCTGTATACCAGGAGTTGACACCACATTGTAAACTGACTACATTTCAAATAAAAAAATTTAACAAGACTGTTCCTACATTGTGTTAATTTCCTATAGCTGCTATAACGAGTTAACACAATCTTGATGGTTTAAGGCAATGTCCATGTAACTGTTTTACTATTCTGGACGTCAGAAGTCTCTTCCAAAGGAATAGTCAAGGTGTTAGCAGGGCCCGTGGGCCCTCTGGAGGCTTTGGGGGTGAATCCCTGTTCTTGCCTTTTGCAAAGTCAGGCGCTACATTCTTTGCATTTGTTGGCTCATGACCACTTCCTTCCTCTTCAAAGGCCAGCAGTGTACCATTTTCTTTAGTCATCAAATTGCTTTCCGCTATATAGTAGGATCTCCCTCTGCCTCTCTTTTTAAGGAGACTTGTGAGTACATCACTGGGCAAACATAATTTTAGCATAATCTCACCACAAACTCGCTGTCACACTTGCACAGTCTCTTACTATATAAAGTGACATGTACAATGTCGTGGGATGAAGACACGGACATCTTTAGGGGACATCTATCAGCCTGCCACACTGAATTTGACTCTTAAAAGTGTGTTTTAAGGCATACTCATTACAATCAGGATGCAAAATTTACACCCATCCCCTGTAATTTCTGTAAACTAGGTCTTGAAGAGATGAAGAATTCAGGTCTAGTCTGGCTGGACAGTTGTGCCATGTGGCACTCCTGGAGATACACTGGGTAGGACAGGTGTGTGAAAATGTTCTCTAGACAACAGTAGGGAAGAGATGGGTTTAAATCAAAGTGTTTTTTTGTTTTGTTTCCAGAACTAGTTATTAAATTGCAGAAAGTTCGAAATGCCT